AAAAAAAAAGCCCTCATTCTTGGAGTGAATCTTTATGGTGATTCAAAACACTTTAGGTAGATCCTGTCATATGCTTTATAAGTTCCTGACTGATTGTGTGGAATTAAGTTATTGGGCAGAGAACCAGGTAATGGAAACACATTGATGAAATCATTTTTGAGGGACATTAAATGGAACTTAAAATAAAGCTGAAATGGCTTTATGGATTTTTCAGTCAAACTGTTTATGAACATTTATCGGTGGTAAATTACACAGTGTCGGAAGAGGGAATCAGTAGGTATGGCTTTTAATAGAAGTCGCCCTGATATAATACTGTGAGAAAGAATAATTTATTGCCTAGGGATGTACAGTATAGTATGTTTAAATACAAATTATATGATTGTTTTCTTCTAACTGTCTTTGGCTGTTTGCAGGTAAGTTATCCTTAGCAGCAGCAGAGTCTCATAAGATGAAAAAAAATATTTTTAGTCCTTTGCAATGAAATTGAAATTTTGTGTTATGCATTTTGCATGGTAGATAGCAAGTGTTTTAATAATGGATAATTCAGGAAGCAGAAGCTGTGTTGTACAATAATAAATCTAATTTACATTTGCTTTATCCTCAGTAAAGGGAGAAGAGGGATATAGTGGCTTTGATTGAGAAGGGAGATTGTAGCAGCTAATTCTTGAACTGTTGGAGCTGTGCATTAATACCATTTGCCAAAACCCATCATTCCTCAGGTAGAGGACAGTGAAAATACTAGTAGGGGAGTGCAAGACTAGAAGGCACTTTCTGATCCTGCAAATCTTGTCCCGTGGTTTTGAGACGCCACAGCTTATAGTCATGAATTTGTCAAATCTGTTAGATTGTCTGTCCCATCTAACTGAAAAGCTGCTCCCATTTTTGCTCCTCTTTTGGCTAGAAAACACTTACTTTTCTTCCCAAATATACCTGGTACGAGTTTATTGCCACTTGCTCTCATGCCAACATTGGCCTAGAACCAGGAGTTCTTTTTCCTTGATGTTATTTATCCTCCTAATGTATTTATACACAGCATTCGTATCCTTCCTTAGCCATCATGCTGCTAAGCTAAAAAGCCAAGTCCTTCCAGTCTTCTTTTGTAGGATAGACTTTTTCTGTTCATGCAGTCCTGACAGTATTTCCTCTCTGTACACTTTCCTCACTGGGGATGAGCTGGGGGCTACATAATAGTTCAAGGATTCACTGATGATTCCTAAAATAACGTGATTTTTTTCATGTTTCTGTTAGACTTGCCTCTTTCTTTTCAGTGTAACGTCACGTTTGCCTTCTCTTTGGCCCTGTCCCGCTGCCATGAATCATGAGTAGCACTTTATCTTACCCAGCACCTGGATAAAGTCCCCTTTATCCAGGGACGTTCCCATCCTGGAAGCATCCAACATGGAGAATAAATTTTTACTACTTTCTAAGCACATGACCTTGGACTTCACATTTTTTAATTTCACTCTCTCTCTTTTCTTCCACTGCCTGAGGTCAAACATTTGTTTCTCCATGACATCCCAGTTCTCTGCAGAGCCAGAATAGCCCAATTCAGTGTCAACAGCACATTTCCCTCAAACTTTCCTTCCTTCTTTTGCCAAAGCCTTTAGTAAAACCACTAAATGAGGTCACTTCCTCCAGCCTAATGCCTTCGCTTTCAACACTATCCAACATTGATGCTATCACAGCCTGGCTAGGGACTTCCACAGTGGCCAAGAGCCAGACTTTGACACAAACGTCCAGTGTAGTTGCATCTGTCCAAGGCAGTTGTTTCCATACGGAGGCACTGCAGGAGCTGCCGAGACGTCAGCATAGAAGAGAGAGGGCTGGTGGGCGTGGGCACATTTGGGGTCTGTAAAATTTCCAGTAGCACAAAAAGAAAAGGATGGTTATTTTCTGTTTTTCACAGTCCAAGGCAGAACAAGCATTCAGTGAAATCATCAGGTAGCAGGTTGAAATCAAAGGAAAAACTTCTCCAGAGTATTTAACTCATCTGTGAGCCCCCTGCTACAGAAATGGGGACGCTTAAAATGATAATTAGGTGAGGTGAGGAAAGCTTATCCGTGTCTCTCCAGTGGCTGGCTGACACGGCCAGCTCAAGGAGTCCCTCAGCTGCTGACAGCCAGAGACAAGGGAGGAATGTCTCAGTCCTGGTCCCTGGGCATCCCCTCGTGGCTGATGTCCTACTCGGTGACAGGGACAGGTGTCCCTTTGGGAGATCTTGTCTTCTTAAAACAGAATGATAAGAAATGATATTGTTAAGGCAGGAAGCCTTATCAAGGCAGGTAGCATTCACTTCTAATTCATATCAAAGGAGAAAACCAGAAGGATTTGGAAATCCCATTCCTGTTCCCAGTGCATAAGGGACTCTTCCATGGATCTGAGAATAAAGAAGACAGGAAAAGAGAGTTTAAGAACTGTGTGTAGGGCAAGGAAAACACGGAGGTGGCAGAAAGGAATAGCG